GGGGGGGGCCCAGCGGGTTTGGCCTGCCACTTGCAGGGGGGGGCACCGAAACTCCCGCCTGCCCCTCCTGCCCATTGCCTAAGTGGCGAACGCGGCTGGTTAAGGGGGGCACCAGTGCTCTCAGGGGGAGCACGTGCACCTCTGTGCACCCTCTATGCCCTCTATCCCCACTGCTACAATGCGTCATTGACTAAACTCCTAAGCACACTTCCACCCTACTAGTTATCTTACCCACTCTACGCCGTATGGTGAATTTGATTGATTGGGGACAGTGACCAACAAGGTTACTACAAATCTTCAGCTCCCCTACCAGGTCATCCCCCATAGCCAACACCAAGTCCAGTAAGATGTGTTTTGAAGTACTGTTGATATGTTATGCCTTCATGTCTGGATTTCTACTGTAGAACCGGAGCATTATTTAGCAAGTTCTAATAATAACAAATTGGAATGATGTGCCTGATAAATGCTTTTGTTAGTGATATGGTACCACTTTATGATTGGCTCTAAATCTGTTGGTGGTGCTACTTTTTTCCCTTATATTTAGACCAGAGCTGTCTAGCTTCTAATAAGTGACCGGGGCAGCGCATACCTTATCAGTAAGCCATGCATCCCCCACTGTACCTGGTGCACACTTCTGTTACTGCAGGCTGTATTGTGCTGCACTGCCCCCTGAAATAGGGGCAAGACACAAGCTGGAAGAATGAGGGGAGTGGTACCTGGGTGGGAACCCAGGGGCCACAGATGATCCCCCTTTGATCTCTGGGCTCGCACCCAGGCACCACTCCCCTCATTCTTCTATCTATGACATTTTCCCCTCATCCCAGTAAAGCTTGCATTGCCAGGAGTGTGCACATAGTACAGTGGGGGACCCAGGACCAATTGTGGGCCACATGTGACCTGTGGGCTGCCAGTTTGATAGCCCTGATTTAGGCAACAGAATCTGGGCAGCTGAAGTTAAAAGTTCAGAAGAATCAGTTACTAAACAGATGTTTTTCCAGTGCTCTTTGGCCAGGTTGCATCAGGACCCCTTTTTTTTTTCCATGCGAGATAGAAGGGACTTACACGTTTGCTTTTTAGATTGCATAATTTGGGGTTTGACTTTACCAAGAGCCATAAAAATCTATAGCAGATCTCAAATTTTACAGAAGTTGTTCGGTGTAACGTGTCACAATTCAGAAAAGCTGGTGCAGAAAAAGCACCTGTACTTGTTCTCCCCATTATAGCCATCACATTTAAACAGTGAGGGCCAAACATATAAGGATATAGTAGGACTATTTTTTTTTTCAGACAGACCTGGCTGGTCTTTCTGCATATTGCAGAATTACACCTGAATTCAGAGGCTTGAAGCAAAAAAAAAAAAAAAAAAAGGAGGAAGCTGGAAGCAGTTGGTGAGGTTTGCTCCAGGATACAACAGAGCCTGGATGCTTTTGAGCAGTTAGACATGTTTTTTATTTTAATGCAGTTGGGGACAAATATTAGCTGAAACTGAAAGCAACCTGGAGAGCCAAGTAGTCCCACCAAAGAGATGCCCCCGGCTATGCCGCAGAGTGCATTTGAACTGCCTTTCCTAGTCCTCGGTTACTGACAGTCATGCTTAACTAGCCCTTTTCTAGAGAGGGAGGAGGTAGCAATGAGCTCCTGTGAACAGGACCAGAACAGAAACGTTCAGCTCTCGGCTGCTTCCCAACAGGCCTTCATGTCCACGTGCGTGCCTGTGAGGTTCTCCAAAAAAAGCACATGTGGATTTGCTTCTAATGTTTAGCAGGGAAACCCTTCTCCATAGTCCAGCTCCTTCTAGGGGGCTGACCTTGAGCAGGGGATGAGGGACAGAGAAAACAAGGCAGCAGCCTCTGGGAGCCGAGTAACTGGGGGGCTGGCAGGGAGAACTGGGGCTGCTCTGGGAGGCAGGCGGAGGGACTGGGGTAACTGGGAGGCAGGCAGGGAGAACTGGGGCTGCTCTGGGAGGCAGGCGGAGGGACTGGGGTAACTGGGAGGCAGGCAGGGAGAACTGGGGCTGCTCTGGGAGGCAGGCGGAGGGACTGGGGTAACTGGGAGGCACTACTTGTCGTCGTCCCTGCCGCCGCCACCATGACGGACCGTGCGCCCTTCGACACGAACGTGCTGACCCTGACCCGCTTCGTGATGGAGGAGGGGCGGCGCGCGCGGGGCACCGGGGAGTTCACGCAGCTGCTCAACTCGCTGTGCACCGCCGTCAAGGCCATCTCCACCGCCGTGCGCAAGGCCGGCATCGCCAACCTGTGAGTGCGGGCCCGGGCTGGAGCCGAGCAGCCGCGGGAACCGCCTGCTCCGCCCGCACGGAGGGACCGGGGCGGAGAGGGAGGGGGTGTCCGTGTGAGGAGGCCTGCTGGGGCCACGCATCTTTATAGAGGCATCCGTCTCCCCCTGTGTGGTGAGGCACAGAGATCTGTCCGTCTGGACAGCTGAGGAGGTGAACTTCAGCTCAGGGAAGCTTGTGCCAGGTCTGGCCATCACAGTCACAGACAATGAGGGGTGGGAGGGACCTCGGGAGTCCTCTAGTCCAGCGTTTCTCAACCTAGGGGTCAGGACCTAAAAGTGGGTCACAAGAGTATATTATGAAAGGGTCATGTATAAGCTTCAAAAATGGATTCTCCTTTAAAGGGAGAAAAGGCTGCCTGGAGCCCCCCAGGCCCTACACACACCTACCCCCTTCCCCTCACACTGGAGGGCTGGGGCAGGAGGTCAGGACTGGCCATCAAGGTTCACAAATGGGTCCTGGTACCAAAAAAAGGTTGAAAATCATTAGTCTAGTCCAACCGCTGCTCAAAGCAGAACCATCCTCAACTAGATCATCCCAGCTACCTGTAGATAAAGAGATGGAGTCTACGTTAGAGAGCTGATGAAGACAGCTTTAGCTCAGCAAAGCTTGGGCTATCTCTCTGTATAGAGATATAGATACATTTATATATGTATAGAGAGAGATATACCCATCTCCCTGTGTTTCTGTATGTAGATTATAGATCTCTACAGGTAGATGGATAGATATCTTTACCTACCTACTTTAGTTAGTCTAGAAGGTGCAGACCTACCCCACCTTTTAAATATGGCCAAGAGTGCCGTACAAGGGAAAGCTGCTCTCCTGGTGATCAAGCTAGCATTGGCCTGTAAATATTGGCATTACTGGACCGTACCTAGGAAATGTATGCTCTCCTGCCCTACCCTAATACTTCCCTATCTAGGCCTGCCAGCAGGAGCAACCTCAACATGAGATCACAGAGTACAAAATAATAGAAACTTATAAAACAGCTGAACAGAAAACTAAGTCCCCCTCATATTAAAAGCCCTGTCAACACCACCTGTGATGATAATACTACTTTATTTAAAAAAAACAAACAAACAACCTAACTCAACTTTTGACTGATCTATAATGGCATAAATAATTAACATGTATATCTTAGACTAGCTTGGTAGGTAAAGCAAATGCTGGGAAGTCTTCAGACTCCATTTTGGCGTTTTCTAGTTTTTTTCCTCTTCTCTCTAGTCCTTGCTGAAGGTAGCTACTATTTCCCTCTTTTCTCTAGCTAGTCTTTGCTGAAGGTCGCTAGTGTTGAGTTTTGACTCTTCCTTTTTAAAGGGCCCAGTGGGTTTATTGGTGTACAAGATGTGAAATAACCCAAATCCTTGCAGTTGGCAGAGTCTTCATTAAATTGAATTTGATTCAGTGAATACCCAACCTTTGAACTGGAAAACCAGGTAGATGGGCTAGAAGACCAAGATTGATAATATCTGGCTTAATAATCAATTGCTGTCTGTAATTTAATATGTTGGCACCATGTAATATTAAATTCAATGAAACACTTTTCCTGATTGCACTGTAAAAGAATAGATTTTTGCATCTTAGAAGAATAAGGCTTTCAGATTCAGCCCTAGAAGAGAACAGGGGTGTTGCCACAAGTCAGCCAATCAGAGCTGATACTACACATGTTTCATGCTGACAGCAAAACAGGAAATGAGTGTTCTTTTTTTTTTTCTTGCAGGGGTAAATAAAAGGTGAAGCAGCTTTTCTGCAACATCATTCTTACAATATTTTGCATGTTATTGGTAGGTCAGGTGCTATGCTGATCAGCACTTTCAAAATGCCTGTAGTAATGAGCCGTGTCAATACTTAATGAGAAATATAATAAAAATGAAAATAATTTCACACATACAGCAAGTAGCAGAAGACTCATGGACTCAAAAAGCTTCTATCAGTATAGAGTAGTGTGTGTGTGTTAGGACATGTATTAGTAGCACTAGAAAACCGTGGTTGCTATATCTTCTGAAACAACTGCTGTAAAATGTACTTCAATGCAGAAGCATAAAGTATATTCATTTCAAGAAGAAACAAAGCTTTCCTGTCTTAAATTCCTAGCAAGGGTCTCAACTTTGAAAGAACTAGCTGTTGATCTGAGTGGAGGGAAATATTCCACCTGCACCTACAGAAGAGGGAGGCCATTGTCAAAACTTGATCTAGCACTTAAACAATGTTTTGTTCCAAATGCATAGCTAGCAACTTCCGTCTGTTCAGTGCTTTGGCTTTCCTTAAAACCCTGGCACAAACTATTTGCTATTTCATGTTTTCATGTTAAGTTTAAATGATTAACAGATCGTAGATTGTCTGATGAGGAACAATCTTTTTCATTGCTATAGCTATGGAATTGCTGGTTCCACCAATGTGACAGGAGACCAAGTAAAGAAGCTGGATATCCTTTCCAATGACCTGGTGATTAATGTGCTCAAGTCATCCTTCAGCACATGTGTTATTGTATCAGAAGAAAACAAAAATGCTGTAATAGTAGAACCTGACAAAAGGGTTAGTAATTTGCAAACCTTTTCAGAACTTGATTTCAAGTTACATTTTCCTTTAAATGTGTACAAATAAAACCTGACCTAAAGATTTCAGAGGAACTTGGCCAAAGGTCTGAATTTTTTTGGATATGGGAAAATATGAGTGAACTCTCTCAAAAATCAACCTCTTTCACTTTCTGTTGACTTAATTCTCTCAGCTGAGTCTTTATTCCCTCTTGCTTGGTTTCTTGATATTTTCTTTCTTCCTACAGTTCTCTTCCAACAACTTTTTCTTTCCCATTTTGGGCCTTAAATTCTATGTCATCTTTCCTTTCTGATCTCTGGAACAATTCTTATGCACATTCTTTCATCCTACTTGGCTCTCAGTCACTTGACTCTTCTGTAGCTTCTTTAATAGATCATTTAAGTGACATTTCACAGTAAATAAAATCCTGATGTCCTTACTCGGACAAACTGTCCCTGAAGCTCATAGAACTTAGCAAAATCTTAGCCTATTCTTTGAATGAAATATTTCCTAAGTCACTGAATTGTAGAGATACCAAAATTAACTTTTTACTAGTATTATTCTGCTGCTTGACAAAAATAAGAACTCTGGCCTACCTTTTGTAGGCAGAAGGCTGTCGAGATGCATTGTTATAACCCCTTAAATAAACAAAGTTCATCCCAGTTAAATATTTATGCTGAATCTGAGCTAATGTACTTTTCCCTAAAGCACAATTACTGTCTCTCTAATTGTAGTTTATTTTACTGCCTTTACAACATTTCCATGCTTAAATTAGTTCCTATGGAGATATAGTTTAAAAGGATATAAACAGGTTCAATCAAACAAACCAACTATTACTGCAAATAACTCTTTAATATTACCGTAAGTAAAAAAGGACATTTTTTGTTTACTGTGGGCATTTAAAATAATTTATTTATAGTAAGTTTTGCTGTTTTTCCTGTATTGGCAGTATTCCTTGTTTATATGAAAAATGGGGGGGAAAAAAATGAAAATATTATTATAAAGCCAAAAATTGGCAGGGAGAACCGCATTTTTTACAAAATTGCCAGATTTCAATATTGTGTTAAAGTGGAATGTACAGTATTCCAGAGTTAGATGTTATTCTTCACAAGAAAACTTTTAAAATAGGCTTAACTATGACATATTAAGTTCTTCTCTACTTGTATTTTCCAGGGCAAATATATAGTCTGCATGGATCCTCTAGATGGCTCTTCTAATATTGACTGCCTTGTTTCCATTGGGACCATCTTTTCCATCTACAGAAAGGTAACATGTAATGCTATCACGTTATGACACTCAAGAAAACTCCTGTTCGTTCTTTATCCTTAACCAGCCCTGGGTGGAATAAAATTGCACCTGAAAACTATAAAATCCAATTAAACATTTTATACAGGGAGGATTTCAGGATTAGTTTAGATATAGCCTACTGTTACATATATAGGTAATAAGTACCTTTGTTGGCAATATGTAGTACTTGCTTAAAAGGTAACCTACATATGTGCAATACTAATTGATATTTAATTGGCTGTGAATAGAAGGTGTGAAGTTTATATGAGTAACTATGAGGTCCTGTTGGGACAAGATAGACCTGTGGATCTCAAGTCGGGTGCTGCGAGCCCCTATAAAGGGGTGCCACTATGTAGGTGCTGCCGCAACTAGGTAAAACTGCTCTTTGATCAGCTTAAAAGGGATGGAGCCGACTTGGCTGGAGCAGCCTCTGTGGACGATCCCTCCTTTTGGGAACAGAGGCACGCAGGATAGTTCCATTGGCACACTTCTTTCTGGGAGAAGCATAGGGAGCCAGACTGGGAAGGATTACACAGCACGGAGGTAGCTCCTGCCTGCTTTAGGCTGCTAAGAGAGCCATAATGCAGCAGGAACAGCACGTGTGCCTCAGACCTTCCCAGGCTGACTGTGTAGCAGGGATTGGGGCAGTTTTACCTGGGGGCAGCAGAACCTCATTGTGAAGCACCTAGACAGTTCCAACTGTTGTTCTCAAATGAGGGTGCTACTACATTCAAAAAAAAAAAAAAAAAGTGGTGGATAGGTGCCCTGATGCTGAAAAAGTTTGTGTCACTGATGTGGAACACGAGTTTGATGCTTTTTCCCCATGAAACTAATTATTTCGTACATCTTATACAAGGTCTGCCAGCTTGAGGATAGGCTTCAAATATGGAACTAAGAGTTAAACACCTTGTTTGGATAAGCTTGAAATACAAGATTAACAGGTCTCAAACTTGGAAATGGTTGAGCAAATTCAGATAAGACTCACCCATTTCAAGCATCTTATCCCACATTTGTATACACCGAAAAGTAACTTCTGTGATTTTAGTTTTCAAATGGAGCAAGATAATATTTTGCACTGTTTATCAGTTGCAAACAGTGACAAACGTTCCACTCTGCTTTTTTTTGTTGTTAATTTGACCTCCGATTTTTGTATTAAGTTGCACTCGCAATCCCTGTAAGGGAACTTCACTGCCTGTGCCCTTTTCCTACTTCCTGCATTCCATCCAAGCTTTGACTTGGCACTTATACCTTGTTTTGTGTTTGCACAGCGCTTTGTACAGAGAGAGAGAGAGTCCCAGCTTCAAGGAGCTAATAGTCTAAAGCTGGGTCCATGTCAAAGTTCTGGTGATATAGCCACACTGGATGGAAGCAGGAAATCAAAGCCCCTAATCAACACACCTGGCACATTCCCTGTAGTAGAGGTTATTGACAAAACCTCTTGCAAGAGACAAGTGCTTTTGTTGCCTTAGGTCAGGGGTATGAAACAACTGACCCCTCATGCCCCCTGATCCAGACCCCTCTGGGGTGAGCAGCAGTGACAAGAGGCTAATGCAGCTGCTGCTCATCCACCACCACTGACATTTCCTTGGCAGGACCCCATGGCCAGGAATTTGATGATGGGCCCCAACTCAGCTTGCACTATCCCTGAATTCCTGACCTCTCCAGGAGCCTTGTGAGCCTGATGAAGCAGCTCTGCAGGACAGATCTTTGACCCCATGGCTTAGGTTATATGGTTCAGGGCACAGTGTAGCTGGATAAGCAGAAAAAAATCCTCTTGTTGGCATATGCTGCATTGCCACTATGGGCATCTGTTGACATAGCTACAGAGGAAGAGGCGTCATAATGTCTTGAGGCATGTTTGCAAGAGCAAAAACAGAAACAATGAGATAATACCAGTGAGCATGATAAGCAGTGGCACCAGCACTCTAACCATTATTTTTATTTCTAAGAAAGCTTGATTAAGGAAGGATTTCTTACCTAATTGAACTAAGCCATGAGTCATTGTTGCTACTGTATTTACTCAGTTCTAAGATTGAGTTCCCCCGCCCCTTCTCCCATTTCACATGGGAGGAAAAAAGCCCCTCATCTTAGAATCAAGGGGGAAGGGGGTTGGAACAGGTGGCTGCTGTGGCTCCGGGTCCAGCCTCTACCCTGGGTCGGGACTAGCTGCAGCTTCTGCCTGCCACCCCCCAACCCTGCCACCTTTGCACCCCCACCTCCATGCAGCCTCTGCTCCCTGCCTGCTCATCTCCCTCCTCCCCTTACCTTTGCTTTGCATTGGCAGACTCTATGCACACTGCAGCCTGGGGCACTGGGCACGGCTCCAGCCCAGCCTCATAGCAGCAGTGTACAGCCTGCACTGCTGCTATGGGAGCTAGGCTGGGGCCGTGCTCAGTGCCCTAAGCTAGAACTAGGATGGCATGGAGCAGTGACCTGAGGGGTGGGGGCGAGGACAAGCAGAGGCTAGAGGGGTGAAGGGCAGGGAGGAGCAGAGGCTGGAAGGGGAGGGGTGGAGTAGGAAAGGGGCAGAGGTAGCAGGAGGTCAAAACACTAGGAGGGGCAAACTGCTGGAGCTCCCCATACTATCTACCTCCCTTCAGCAGTAGGAGGGATTAATTAAAAAGATGATGCCCCAATAATTAGTTTTCCATGTAGAGAATCTATAACAAAGTGTTTAGATTTTCCATGAATAGAATTTAATTACTGGGTGGTCTGCTTAAAATTTAGGGTTGTCTTGGATTCAAGTAAATATAATAAGCATGCAGTTGCTGCCCTTCTGCCAGTTCAGCATGTGCTGCCTTAAGTCTAGTAGTTCCAAAGCATACAACATTATCTTATAATTTAACATTCTGTGAAGCTCTATTACTGCAGAATAATGAAGGAATTAAGGGTATAAAATGGATATGTTATGTAAATAATTTCACATGTAAAATTTTAAAAGAATTGACATCCTTCTCTCCTACTCCAGACATCCCCTGATGAACCTTCTGAGAGAGATGCTTTGCAGTCTGGGCGTAACATTGTGGCAGCTGGCTATGCTCTTTATGGGAGTGCCACAATGTTGGTGCTGGCTACTGCTTCTGGTGTCAACTGTTTTATGCTTGATCCGGTAAGGATTCCTATAGCTGGCATGAACGGCTTAAGTTGTTTGTTCTGGCTTTTTGAAAGGGATATCAAAATGACATTTTTACAAGAAAGATGTCCCCAAAGGTACCATATAGGTTGCTGCTTCAACACTAACTCTGATCTCCAGATATGCTTTAATGAGAATTATGTAGTCTACTTTTGATAGGCATACGTAAGTCTCCAAAGGCTTTTGGTATTCTTCACTTCTACTGAAGAAAAAGTAGGTTTTAGATCAGTGGTGTCCTGAAATGAGGATCTTCGGGTTGGTAAAACAAATATGCACGTGCTATCCGAGGTGATATACATGTAATCCCTTTCGCAAGGAGGTGTAGGTATGTGGCTGACTTGGTTTCCACAAGATACTTCTCAGTTTAACAGGATGGTACAAAAAGTTTGAATTATTTACACACACAAGCATCCAAACAGCAAGCTTTAACCCAGCACAGAAATCTGATAAAGTCACCCCTTTCAACTTTAAACCTCAACTCTGGCAGTCTCACAGGGACCCTTCAGGGTGAGACTTCACCTTATGCATGGTGCCAACTGTCCTAGATGGCACAAAGACTCTTACTGCTCCACAATCGCACTGATTGTGTGTATTAACTTCTGCAGCTTTTTTAAATGAAACTCCCTCAGGCCCTGCTTTGTTGCAGTCAGATTCTCTGCTGGGGTCTCTGCAGTGGGGAAGTTGATCCTTCTCCGAGCTGCACTCAAACCAGGCTCCACCACAATCCACCTGGGGCCTCTTTCAGTGGTGCATGGAGCATATCAGAGAGCAAAGCCCCTGCTTCATCCACAAAGCAAAAAGGTTCCCATCTCACAGCTTCTTCCCACTTCTCCTCCTGCTAGCCCACAAAACAGTCTGGAGGCTGAGTTCATTCCAGCTCTGGGTCTGGTTTTCCTGAGTTTGGAGTGGGCCCAGGTAACGGGGGGGGCAAGGTTACCCATATTTAAAATAATCTCTTGCAATCCAGAATTCCCCATAAGGCTATGAACTGTGCCTTTGAGTTTAATACATTACTTCAAGGCTGTCCAGCTGGTGGTCTGCAGCCCACATGTAGCCCATAAGGAGTTAAGTTGCAGCTCCGGGCCTCTTCCCTAGCAGTTACTCCACTCACTGTTTTCTGCAACCGAGACTGGAATCTCCAGGCCTCTTCCCTCCACTTGCTCTAGACTTCATTGCCTGCCCCCAATCCAGAGGGCAGGGCAGTGCAGTGCAGCACAGCATGCCCTGGAGAGCTGAAGGTGAGCTTGGGAACACATGCAAGGGGGAGAGAGCAAGAGTGCACAGTGCAGTGGGCAGGGGAGTTCTCATGTGGCCTGGGGGGCCCTTGGCTTGCCTCAGTATAGCCCCCACTGGTGCAGCCTGCGGGACCTTTGGCTCCCAGCCACTAAGAAGCTGAACAGCCCTGCATAACTTGAAACTAGTTAAAACCTTGTTGTCATCATCAACACCAGAGTCCTACAATACAAGTACTTGAAGTGGAGCAGCAGCAATATTTTAACCCTCTTTCACACTTTCAGATGACACTTTGATCTTTAAAAGAGTAAGTAAGACGTGTGTGTATGTGTTTGACATCTGAGAACCTCTTGACCATGTGACTTTTGACATAGAAGACACATTTAACGCAAGTGTGGCTGGGCTGAAGTGACTCAGTTTAAATTAAAGACATGTCAGTGCAAATTGGATGGTGCAGCCACTCGTAGTATATTTTGGGAAGTTACCATGGTCACTTGGCTTCAAGGAAGTAGAGCTTGATGTTAAACTTAGTAATGACTTAAATGTCTGCATGCATTATCACCGTTTGTTTATATTTAGATATTAGGACTCTTCTGCTAGCTGTGTGTGTGTCCTTTTTCTAAAAAAAAGTGGAAGTTTACTACAGCAGAGACAAACAGCCACTCAAGCCAAATACAACAGAGCTGTCCAAATTCTAAGCAGCTGGGGGCTGCACCAGCAGAGGTCATGGCCCCTCAGGACCATATAATGCATGCCTCCCCTCCCCCTGGTACTGTGGGCTGCCCCATACTGCATTGCATTGCCCCCTGGGCCAGGGAGGGGGAAGCTGAAGGGAAAGGGAGATCAGAGCCCCCAGCTGCTTCTGCAGCTGGCACAGAGGGGAGAGGGTGGGGAGGGGGAAGAGAAGCAGCAGCCACTGGGTGGTAGCCCAGAGAGTGCAATTTAACCCCTTTGGCCAGTTGGACAGCCCTGGGGTACAGCAAAGAGATCCTCTCATGTCCTGTTTTTTGGCTTCAGTGATCCTAGCTGGTAGGGATTGAAAATTTATTGCCAACTTATATTTGTTCAGTGGCCTCTGGCAAGCTCAATCCCCAGAATTACTCACAATTGTATTTTATCATCAGTTTAAAAAAAGGAGACAGAACTGAGTGGACCTATGCTGAACAAACCTTTTGGCACAGAATTTTGGGGGTACAAACAGATCTGACCTTTCATAAGTATTGAATCATTAAGAGGAAGTGTAATCTGTAGTAGGTTCTCACTAAGACATGCATACCAGTGACTTGTCTTTACTCCTGTAAATAAAGACATGCTTAAAAAAAAAAAAAGTTATTAAATGTTTATCTTTAGGCAATTGGAGAATTCATTTTGGTCGATAAGGATGTGAAAATCAAAAAGAAGGGAAATATCTACAGTCTCAACGAGGGCTATGCTAAATATTTTGATCCTGCAGTCACCGAGTATATCAAAAAGAAGAAGTTCCCTGAGGTAAATAAGAAATTTGTGAAGCTCTCTCTATGAAAAGTAAATGCACACTTAAAAAAAAAAAAAAAAAAAAAAAAAAAAAATCAAACTTTGCATTCAGTTACTGTTCTGGGCATGGAGTGTTGTTCTAAGAGAAGAAAGGCGATTGGCCATCTTAGTCTAAGATTAGACAGAAGGCAGAGTAGGTACGTGCCTTATAGACTAACTAAATAAGCATAGGTTTTATTATTCAAAGGCTTCTCAAATCACTTAGTGTAAATATGTTGCCTCTATATTCCATAAAGTTTTGCTTTTACAAAGTTGGAGTTTGTTTTCCTTTCTCATGTACTTGAAATGTTGGTAGACTTAAGATTTCAGTTTCATTCTATTTCAATTTCACTAGAATTCCAAGGCCTGCTTTAAAAACTATCTGATTTCTTAGCATCATGCAGGCTTGAGCCTGCTTCACTCACCCTAAGTCCACAGGTGCAGTGCACAGCCAGAAGCTCACAAGCAAGGCTATTCCTGTTATAGAGCCCTTAGTCTCTAGACCAGCGAATGGACACTGGGGTTGAGCCTGGAACAGCTGCGCTGGCAAACTTCCAAGTGTGAAGTGCATCAATAGACTCAGGTAGACAGTGTGTCCTCATAGCTGCTAACACAGTATAGACAAACCCTGAGTAGCCACAGGTGACTTTGCATCTCATGCGTGCTACCTGCAGTAGCCCCATGCAAACTACATAGGCTCAGCTGAATGTTCAACCCCTTAAAGTTGCAAAGAATTCTTTTGTTGATTACATATTTGTAATATGCCATGGTAACAGAAATAAAATCCTAAAAAAATTAAAGGCAGACAAGGTTCTTTAGGTGAATCCGATATCTTTTATTAGAGCAACTTAAATAGTTGGAAAAAAAAGCTTGCTAAGAAAATGTTTCCAACTCTTTAAGTTGGTCTAATAAAAGATAGGCAGACAAGGTTCTTTGGGTGAATCTGATTATGTCCTTAGACCAACATGGCTACAACCTACACCCCGGAAGAAATTAAAATACATGCTTAGAGTTAGAGATATGTATTAGCTTAAAATAAGACTAAAGGTCTTGTAGAAGTCTTTTCTACAAGACTTAAAGGTGTGCTGCTTTTTCAGTAGCAGTATTTTATGCAGTAATTGGTTAAATAATCCTCTTCCCTTACTGACAGCACAGCTATGAAGGAATAGCTCAGTAGGTGGCTTTTGACAATACAGTATGTAACATAAATTAGGCAAATACCTTTTCGGTGAAGCTTTGCCATTACATGAAATTGGTGCACACTTGATAGCTATTCAGGCAGAAAACACAGCCATAAGTATATCTGTAACCAAAGCTTCCTTATATTGCCCCTACCCTCCTCTGAGCAAGAAGACCAGAGTGTAAGAAATATATGGTCTCCATTCTCATTGTACTCAGCACAGAGGGATCAAGCACACTTACAAAGCCTTTCATATCACAGTTGGCGCACATCCAAAAAAAACGGAGGCAGAACTACCAACAAAGTCTTCCCCATTTTCTCTCTACCACATTCAGTTTGAACTGCTGTCCCTGGAGTTTCATGTCTCCTCTTTATGCAATTAACTCTTAACTTGAAGACATTCTAGTAAAGAGCAAGAAGCCTAAGGAAAAATTGGTGCTATGTCTATGTGGTAAACTTACATCCCCAGCTTTGGTCTTCTTAAGCACACTGCTCTGCTCTGGGCAGGCTGCTTCCTAAACCTGAGGCAGTATAGCTGGAGGTGGGATAATTAACATCAATGCTTAACAGTGCTAATTAGCCCACCCCAAGCCTCTCATGTACATTACTCCTAGCTTACAAAAGCAGCCTGACCAGAGCAGCAGGATCATTGAGATCACTGTCACTAGGGTTAGTATATTTATTACAACGTATCAGTCTGTAACATTCCCATATTAAATTTTCTCCCAGAGTAGCAATAGTTCTGACTGAATAAAACCAGAGATAAGCTTCTAGTGACAATGCTGCCAAAAGAAAGCGATTAGAAACTCAATTCCATTTCCCATGCTTCTCCACCTCTCCCACCCCTACAAAAAAAGATGGTTAGATGGACTTTGAAAAGATTTTTTTTCCCTTTTCTACAGATAAACCTGAAAGCTTGTTTTTAAAGTTAATCATTTTTATATGCTGATGATCTTCTTACAGACTCAGGCTACAAAGGCAGGGCTCATATACGTAGAAGAATGAAGAGCACCAAGAGTGGTATTTATTTGGAGATTAAACAGTAAAGTTGTTAGGAGTAAATAGGAGAATACAAGATATGTTAAAACAGTAACATTCTAACTTTCTAGAACCAGAAAAATTAATAACCTGAAGAGAACTTCCACAGTTGGATAGAGAGGAGTAAGGATGGTTTCTGCTCCACAGCCAGAGGGCAGCCTTAGCTTCCTACGGGACTTGTTACACAGTAGGAATTTTGGGTAGCTCCTGGAGCTCTTAATGCCTGGACTGTCTGCACATCAACACTTGAAACTACCTGTATCCCTGAAAGGCAAGGTTCTTTGGGTAGATGCGATACCCTTTTATTAGGCCAACTGTGTAGTTGGAACAAAGTTCTTTGCAAGCTTTTGGGCACAAGTACCCTACTTCAGGCATAGGGAGACTCTACTGTTGTTCTGAGATCTGAAACTACTTTTAGCACTCAGTATTAGGGGTGTGCGAAATGGGCCCTATTCAATTTGAATTTGGCCCAAATCGGGAACAGCAATTCAATTTGTTGATTCAAATCACTGTCCCCTGATTTGATATGGCCGAATCAGAATCTGAAGATTTTATGCCGATTTGGAGAATCAATGATTCGGACATAGACACAGCTTTAAATGCTTTTTCTACATACCTCAAGGTACCAGGCATGACTTGCGAATGCTGCGATACTGGGGCAGGTGGAGCATGCCACAGGAACGTGGGGGAGCCCCCCCACATGCTTGGTGGCTATCCTAGAAGTAGACTGGAAGTCTGGTCCACTCCCAGGTCCACCAGGGAGTGTGCAAGGGGGTCCCCCCATGCCCTCCCAGCTGCAGGGGGACCCCAGGTGTCCCCCCAGACAGGTGGCACCAGTTGCTGAGCCGGAGGGGTGCAGGGAGCCCCCCCATGCACTCTCCAGCAGACCCGGAAGTAGACTGGAAGTGCTTCTGGTCTACTTCTGGGTCTCCTGCCAAGTGAACTGGGGAGCCCCTCTGTGCTTCTGTGGGACGCTCCATGCACTCCAGCATCACAATATTCATGAGCTGCCTGCTACTTAGAGGTATGTAGAAAAAAAACAAACAAACATTTAAAGCTGTGCCTATGTCTGAATCGCCAAATCTTTCCGAATCCCTCCAAATTGATTCAGAGGGTTCCAATTCAATTCAGAGAGATTCAGTCCTCCGATTCAGTTCAGAGATTTGGCCATCGAATCAGGGACTGAAGCTTTGCACAGCTCTACTCAGTATACATTCCAGGGCAGGATTATCTCTGATCTGTTACCAGCTCCTGTTACACTAAGGTGTAGACACCCCACCCGTTCCCCTTCCTCAGATGGCCTGGATTGGGCCTACTGCCTTCCCCTACCCACACCCCTTAGCCCTTCTCACTCCCACCCCCACATCTCTCCTGCTTTCTTGTGGCTACCTGCGCTCTCTCTGCTGGGGTAGTGGGCAGGAAAGGGTTAATCTGCCTACCCAGACACTGCCATCACCAGGCTACTACCATCACCACTGCCACGGTTAATCCTTCCCTGCCTGCTCCCCTGGGACAGACAGTGTGGGCAGCCGCAAGTAGGGCCCCAGGGGCAGTGGGAGGCAGAGAAGAAGGCTAAGGAGTAGAGCAGAGCCCCAGAGGGCATTGGAATGGTAACTGGGAGTCTCATTTTATTTCTGGCTTTGCCACTAACTTGTTGTGTGACCTTGGGCAAGTTACTTTGCCTTTATGCTTCAGTTTTCCTTAGCTGTAAAATGGGTACAATAATTAAACCGTCTTTGTCAATTATGTTTATCGCTACCAGTGGGAAATGCAATATAGGAGTCAAGTATTATTATTACCAGTAAAAAGTTAACAAGATTTAATCATATGCCTTTATGCAGGATGGCAGCTCTCCATACGGTGCGAGGTATATAGGTTCTATGGTGGCTGATGTACATCGTACTCTGGTGTATGGAGGAATCTTCTTATATCCAGCGAACTCTAAAAGCCCAAAGGGAAAGGTAAAACTAAAATAATCCAATTTAAAGAGTATCAGTATTTTCTTTAAAAACACTTTCACTTTTAACTTAACAGCCTGCTTCTAAAAATCTGGTGGTGACCACAATAGACCCAGAGTTACAGGTGGCAAAAGATGTAGTTTTTGGCATAGTTTCTTGTATTGCAGGATTTAGAAGTCTTTCCCCTTTTTGAGTACTTTAAATGCACTAGATTTGTTCAGTGGGAAATGAGTCCTTTCTCAGCAAACTATTCAATTCTACCCCTCCTCACAGGTATTTGTAAGGTTATTTTGCTACCAGCCAACCCTTCTCCACTGATCCTGTGTGGACCAGAGACCCTAGGCTTTCCAGCTCACAATTCTTTATACCTTAAAGGAATTTTGGTTTCCACCTCACTCTCCCTTGTTCATGTCCCGTGTCTCTAGCCATTCTACCTCTCATCTTTAGAGGCCTGCTCTTTGCTTTGCTTTCCCACCCCCCTTCGCAGGAATGAGTTACTGCCTTTTGAGGCCCAGTGAACTCATCCACCCTGCCCCCACAGACCTCTGCAAGAAAATAGGTTTTCAAGCTCTGACAATAAGAAATGTCTTTTATTAGAATTGCACCCCATGAGGCTCCGATTGTGGACACACTAGTTTTCAAGGGACTATTCAAACAGCCTTCCTCCCTGGCTGGCTTGAATAGCTTTAAGCAAGTCCTGAAGGTTAACCAAGTTCTAATTTGTAACACTTGACAAGTAAGCAAATTGTCCCCCCCTTTCCAATTAATTGCTTCCCCCTTCTCTGCTGTGCCCAGACTGTGGAGAGCATTCCAAAGTCTGTGTCAATGAGAGCATTTCAGATGATCAGCTGTCATACAGCCTCTCATTCACCATGCTTGTGCATATCCCTAGCCATATAGTACCATCTACAGCAAAGGAAACTGTCTGTATTGCATTGAGAAACCAGTAGTTGGCACATTAAGCCTAAAAGGTAACTTTCTCCGTGATATAAATACCACCAAGGGAGTAAACACCTGCATCCTAAATCCAGCAGCAGTACCACCATCTAGAAAGTTATGCATAGATCCGGCCCCTAGCCCAACATGAGAGGAGAACTGTTTAATCAGCAAAGACCTTTAATCTGTTTTGAAAAAGTTTCAGGTAAATTATTGCTTCAGCTTGTAGATAAGATGCAGTTATCCATTACACAAACATAATATTACAGTCAGGGCCTTTTTTTTTTTTTTCCTTCCACACAAGCTAAAAATGGTCTGTTGCTGTGTTAAGCCTATAAAGAGTAACACAATCTTGAATGCTCATATTGTTCACTCCCAAATACTCAGTTTTGAAGTATTCTTTCAGGTGTTTCAACTATTAACAGCCAAGTAGACAAGGCAACAAAGTACTCATGTGGACTATGTAGGGA